ACACAATATATTGAAAAATGAAGATTGTTTGGCACCAGACAAAAGCAGGTCAAAGGAGGAAACTTCCGCTTCCATGGATAGCAAGCAAAGCTCGTCAAACAGTCTTATTTTTCACTTCTTTTTCCACCTTTATTTCCAGGTAAACTTTTTAGTCTTTCCTTCCACATTGATTAAGAAATTTCCTTGTTATAAACTCTGTCATTATCTTCAATCTAGCATGTCCTAACATAGGCATCATCCTACCTTGCCATCTGTGGAATCAGAATGGATTAGCCAGGAGATCGTAGCCATTACATAATTCATACATACAGCTAAATACTACTTGGTTATTATAGGAAAAAGGTGTTATTGCACAAGACATAATAGTTCCGTCCTACACGGTAGAAGAATTCTTTTCAATGGAATCATCGGAGTAAATTGTTGCAAAGAAGTCGAAAAGTCGAAGTCTTTCAAGTCAACAAATGCATTGTCTAGCAGTTTCTTTGAATTATCTTCACAGCCTTGCTTTTCACTCAGGCACTTACATACCATATCAATTCTGATTTTCCCTCCAGAGTCCAGACCAACAACTTCTTGAAATTCACCCATCAATCCCACCAGTTCCTCATCCATTTGCAACCTCTTCATCCCCATCTTCTCATTTTCCCTCCTCTGTTTCATCTAAGAAAATGCATCCCCTTCACCTCCCTGGATCTTTCTTCGTCTTCTTCATCATCATCACCTTCGTTTTGATTCATGCTCCTAAATTTGCATCCTCTGTGGATGAACATTATGCGAACTGCAACAGGACTTTCGCCTGTGGAAACATTGAGAATATTGGCTATCCTTTCTGGGGTTCAGGCAGGCCGGACTACTGTGGCTTCCCAGGGTTCCAGCTGAACTGCAAAGACTCAATCCTGGAGATCACAATCATGTCAGCAACATACCACGTCCTTGGAATCAACAACCAGTTCCGGATTCTCAACGTGGCCAGAGCCGATTATCAAGATGACCTCTGCCCCGCCTTCCTAATCAACACCACTTTGAATCCTGACCTCTTTGAATTTACTTCCGATACTCAGGATATAAACCTCTATTATCATTGCCCCCCTCCTCCTCCTCCTCTAACTCCAATACCAAATCAAGAAATTAATTGCTTCAGTCATTTTACTTGTAATGTAAACAAAACCACCTTCGATGGCTATTACCTCACCAGAAATCTCAGTGAGTTGCCCGACCTGGCTTCTATTGCGACTGCAATCAGTGGCTTCTTGGGTAGTTGCGATGAGCAGGTTGTTTTGGCCGCAAACCAATCCGAAATCCAGTCCGTGGAGGCAAGTCCGTGTCAGAACGGGGAAAATCTGGCTGAAGCTCTTGCAAAAGGATTTGGGTTGAAGTGGAATGCAAATAATAGCTTGTGTGATCGGTGCAGAGGCTCCGGCGGGCAGTGTGGATATAATACGGTTTCCGATGAATTTTCTTGTTACTACTCGGATCAGCCCTACCATACCGTTTGTCCTACAGGTCAGTTTGTTACTTCTCTTTAGTGATGAGCCCCATGGTACGGTTATTTGTTTACCATATTAAAATTCGAGATTTCAAACATAAAACTAAAATTAAAATTTTAAGTCTTTCATTGTCAATAAATTAAAAAATGTTAAAATGGTCTGTTTGAATCTAGTGATATTAAATTTTGACTTATAATTGTTTACTTTTTGTGAGTAATATATTCAAGTTTATGAAACATATTCTCACTTCCCCAATTAAGATATATAAATATTTGCAATTTATTAAAAAAAAAAACAAATTAGAGGAAGTTGAACCTTTTTTTAAGCCAACGAGGACATTGAAATTTAAGGAATTTTTAATGTTCAATTAAATATGCACTAATAAAAATAT